GGGCTCTGTGGTGCTGTGGAGGGCAGAGCAGCACTGGAAGCTCCACGCACTGCTGCTTTCTCAGGGAGCTGCCAACAAAAGGTTTGGGTTAGCTGAGAACTTGAATGCTGTCGGTGAGGGCTCATGGAACCCTCGTGGGAGAAAGGTTCCACGGAGTTGGTCCACGGTCTGGAGGAAAGCAGGGAGCTGGGGAAGTGATCTCAGTTTTCACAGGTCACTGGCTGAATCTGCGACTCCTGTTTTAATGACTCCCTGCTGGCAGGGTATGTGACGGGAAGCAGTGACTGCCTTCGTGGAACTTAGATTCTTGTGGGTGAGGGTCCCAGGCAGTGGGGTAGCAGGGGCCTAGGCCCAAGCCAGGGAAACGCTTGGAGAAGAGCTTGACACCAAGAGGAGAAAGAGTCGTAGCGCCTCGCTACTGCAAGCACTCCTGGCCCCCCAGCCTGGACCCCTCAGGAGCGTGTTGGAAGCACCCCACTCCCAGCAGGCTCTGCACTGTAACAAGGTCTCCAAGGATCCAAACACCCGTGCAAGTATGAGTGTCAAGGCTATGGTGGAAAGGCTTTGGCGTGGCAGATCTGCGTTCAAATCCCAGCTCTACCACTTAGCGAGAGTCCTTTGGCCTCTTGGGACTCAGTTTTCTCACCTGAATAAGGAGGGAGCACTTCTAGCACAGAAGGTTGTTGTGGAGATTTAATGAGTCAAAGTATGAAAACAAAGTAGCGTGAGGCGGGTTTGCTGGGGTAATCATTCGTGCACTCCCTGGCAGCTCATTAGGGACCAACTGCCACCGTCACGCACCCTTGTTGTCCTGGGTTTAAAGCCTCTTCCGAGACAAAACACCTTGAGGAATAAGAACGTTGTGTTGCGGGTGGGAAGAGAACATCCCCCCAGCAGTTTGAGTGCTATGAGATGGCCCACAGCGCTTTGAGGATCTTCACGGGATTTTCAAACATCAGGCTGCCGTCACTGTCCTCAGACCTTTAAATACATAGGGATGGAACCGTGAGCATCCCCGGGGTGAGGCAGATACAGGAAAATATGGGAATTAAACGAATAGGGAAGCGTTGTTATTGCTTTCCCCACAGATTAAAAAGTCTTTTAAAATTCAGCACAGGCAGCTACACTGATTCTTACTAGTTTCCTTAAAAAGCAGCCTGGGCAGCAGCCGCGGTGGCGGTGGCAGTGGCAGCGGCGGCAGCGGCGGCAGCGGCGAGTCTCTCTGGAGGTCCCACTGCCAGCAGAGGCAGTGCGAGGGGTGTTCTTTTCTGCTCCCCAAGCCAGTAGGTGTTAATCTGCTTAAGCCTGCCTGAGTGGCCACGCTAGATTGCTGGCACATGGCCATTTAGGTGTTTTGTTCCCGAGACCACGGGAGCCCATTTTCCCAAGAGTTCCCCTAGCTTTTTGTTTGATAACGTCTAATTCTAGCAGCATTTACTCCTTCCACGATGAATTCAATGGAACAAAAATTTACTGAACACCTACTATTTGGCAGACCCTGTGTTGGGGACACAGAGCTGAATAAGGTACAGTTTCTGTGCTCCAGGGGCTCCCCCAAAAGTGACTTCTGCCGCACACTCTCAAGTGATGGCAGTTGCCATCATGCTTGCCTACTGCTTGGAAGAAAATCCTTTGGCCGCCTTGACCGGCCCCCCTTGAGTCTCCACGACCTTGCCTTTCTCTTCGGGGGTGCCAGGGTTAATTACTTGCTGTTGCGGCTGGCTGATTGTTCTCCCAGGCTTCCGCTCCCTCCAATCACACATTTGCAGTGATAAAATCTATTTAATGCATTTTATTTCCTTTTTTAAAAAACAAAAGCAATACATTTTCATTACACAATAATACAGACTAAACAAAGGGAAAATTTAAATTCATCCCCCATGCCCTCATCCTCAAGACAAGCTGTTTTACTAAGAAGAGAATTTTTTTTAATTTTAAGAGTAATTAATATAAGTTCATGTCAAGTTTAGAACAAGGTGCAGGGCAATCAGGACTAATTTAAGCAGCATGTCTTTGATCTTGCAGTCTAACAAGTGCCCTGCGTAAGGCGTTGTCCTTTGGGGAAGGCCGTGGTGTGGACATGAGGACCAGGAGGGGGTGCTTGGAGCTCCGCTGCTCAGGAAGGGCACAGAAGAGCAGGGCATGAGTCTAGAAGCCTGGCACCGCTCTCTGAGTAACTGTTGCTCTCAACTATTTCATTCCCAGTGCGTTAGTGTGTCGTTCCAGTGCCAAGCACTTGGCACAATCCTCGCATAAGGAGAGAAAGTCTTTCATGCCTCAGGGTTAGAGGGGGCAGTCCGGGGCAGTTGGCATCACTGCCTCAGGCCTGAGGTGGTATGTTCCCGTGGGCCAGTGCTGCCCTGGGCCTTCGGGACACTTAAGATCCCAAGGGGTAGATCGATGATAGAATCTGTCCTTAGAAATCCACCTTTCTTATTCAAAATGTGTAATAATGAATGAGAAATATCTCTTTTAAGAAAGTTTCATATAAGGGCCAGTGAGATACTGCAGTGGACTAAGCACCTGCTTTGGCAAGCACAGGGACCAGGGGTTCGATCCCCAGTCCTGCATGCTGGGCCAGCTCCCCGCCCCCAGGGCACTCTGAGCCTGCAAATGAGTCCGGGCGTGGTGGTGCACACCTGTAACCCCAGCACTAGGGAGGCTGAAGACAAGAGGATCACTATGAGTCAGAGCTGCATAGTGAAACCCTGTACCTAATACATAAAATGGGAAAAAAGACAAGAAAATTTCATGTAATAATTCCTGAATTCTCATGAAGAGTGCTTGGGTATCAGCAAATGCCTCCCACAGGGCTGCGCATGGTGGTGTACCCTGTAATCCCAGTATGATGGGGAAAATAACGCCCAGCCTGTGAGATGCCAGCTATCCCAACTGTGTCGCCTAAGCGGCTGTGGCTAAGAGTAAGAAAGGTTTATTGATCAAAAACTCCTGGGTCCTGGAAGGTGTCACAGGGGCACTTTCTCCAAGAATGTTCTGTAGAGTGAATTCACAAAGTGGGAACGACATGTGTCAACCAACCGAGTCCCAAGGCGAGCCACTTTGCTGTACTGATCTGGGGAAGCCTGATCCAGGGAAGCGGGGTGTGTAGCAAGGCGCAATGGCCCATGTCATTACCCTTAGCTTATCTGTAACTTCTAATGAAGAAAGAGCAAAGGCGATTTTGGAAAGGGACAGGAAAGTGTGGGAGGATAGGTCCCAATGTTCTGGTTACCCACCTAGATATCTGCTGCCCCTCTGGACTCACCAGACCAGTGGTGCTAATTGCAAACAATCTCAGGTTGCCGTTATGCCCTGAGGGAGGCCTGCAGGCCTGACTATCCTCTCTGCCTTGAACCTTGGCCTTCAGACATACCTCTGCCCATAGTTTTGATGTGTTTGCACTTTCAGCCCAACTTGACTCTGTGTCTGACTGCCTATTAATTTCTAACTTAAGTGTCTATAATACCAGCACTGTGGGAGGCGGAGGCAGGAGAATCATAAGTTTGAACCCAATATGGGCAAGTTAGTGTCTTGAGATCCTGTCTCACAATAAAAACTTGTAGAAGGCTAGTGATGTAGCTCAGTGCAAAGGCTCTGGGTTCAGTCCCAAGTACTAGGGAAAAAGAGAAAGTTTCCCACGTGCCAGGCTCTTTGACATATCTCAGCTAAGCCTCTTACAGCTCTGTAAGATAGAAAGTTACTCTTTTACGGATGATGAAACAGGCTCCCAAGGGGAGCAGGCTTGCCAAGAGCTCATAGCCAGAGCAGAGAGGGATGAGCAGAGTGCAGTGTGAGGCCGACCCGGCCCCGGGGCCCCGCGCCCTTGGGGAGCTAGGCTCTGTGCTGTGCCCCTCTGAGCCACTGCCAGTGTGGACACAAGGAATGGGCCTCAGAGGGAAGGCGAGGCCACAGTGACGGTGCAAAGGAGCAGCACATGGTGGCCCTCTGAAAGGAGCTCCCCTCGCCTGAGTTCTCAGGATTCTGGTTCCACTTCCATTAAGGGTCTCTTTCTCCGGGTCTCTGCCACAGAACTGGCCTAGCGCGCATCTCCAGTGCCACCCCAGTTGACGTGCCCTCCTCTGCTACCTGCAAGGCCCAGGTGGTGGAACCGACTGAGTTTTAAATCTGCACCCTGCTTCCTTTATCTTCCCAGTGGAGTCTTAAGATGGGAATGGTCTGCCCCAGAAAATGCAACATGGGAAGACCAAGTCCTCTCTTCCCTTCACCTTCAACATGTGGCCTTCCCTCACCAGGGCTCCAGCTCCCCTGGGCCTGAAAGGGGGTTGAACCCCTCGCCCCCACCTCCTAGAACAGGTGCATTTCCACCGTGCAACATGGTTTCAAATTCATCAGAAACTAAATTGTCTATAAGTGCATTGTTACTATCAACAACTTAAACTATCTTCTCTCTTTAAGATTCTAACCGTCCCATAAAATTGTCAGCACCTCACTGGGGCACCTTTAGTTCTATCAGGCAGCCCTTGCCCCAGCCTTAGCACCGCTGAGATTTCCAATTAAAAGAAACTCGTGGAATTAGTAGTAGGTATAGATCAGTCACAGGAGTCCCGGTCACTGTGCAGTCATCTTCAAAAAGACCTGGCAAGCCAGGCCCAAGAACCTCCTCAGGTTTGCTTAAAGCAGTTTGCTGGACCTTTAACACCGGTGAGCTGCACGTAGAAAGCTTGTTCTCATCGCCTGCCTGGGCCACCTTGTCCCCGCTCACCTCTGGCCACCCTCTCTTCCTCCCTCCTTCCCTTCCTCCCCCCGTCTTTCCTCTCCCTGTTCTTCCTCCTGCGAAGCGACTGAGGGTCTCTTGGCCACTGGGCTCTGCGCTGGCTGGGGACCTCACAGGGGACGAGAGCCAAGGCCCGTACCTCACCGAGCGCACAGGACCACGTGTCTGGGCCGGGTGCTGGGCCTCCAGCTGGAGGGCAGTGGGGAGCCCTGGAGTCCTCTAGAGAAGCCTGTTGGTGACCAAATTCCCTCTCTTGTCTCTGCAGGTGGGATGCAGTCCTACACGTGGTCTCTGACGTACACTGTGACAACGGCTGCTGGGTCCCCAGCAGAAAACTCCCAGCAGCTGCCCTGCATGCGGAGCACACACGTGCCTCCTTCCTCCGTCGCACACCGGATACCGGTTTACCCCCACAGAGAGGAACACGGGTAGGTGACCCTGCCTGGAGGCTGCTTGCTTAACGCTTGCTCTAGGATGGGCTCCACTAGGTAGCTGCTTCCTCAACAGACAGGAAAGGTGAGGCCCCACCGGGCTCTGACAGGTGACTAGCCCATGGCCTCGTGCAGTCTCTGTCACTGCCAGTGGCATGGACGGGAAATACTCGCGACCCCCATCCTCAGCCAGAAACTCGAGACTCAACGGATGAACTTGAGTTTTCCAGGGTCTCACAGCTGGTGCACAGTGGGACCGGCCGGGCCAGACCAGGCCTCCCTCAGCCCTGTGAACTCTTGGCCCCTCTGGGGCCCTCGCAGGGCACGCTGGTCAGTGGGTCTGGGTCTCGCCTGACTCCACCCAGAGGCCCCTGGGGAGCTGCACCTACTCCCCAGGCCAGGGGCTCCTTGCAGACTCCAGCAGGGCTTCTCCCCTAAATAAATGCATCATTTGTTTTGGCCACAGTTTTTCTTCACTTCTAGCAGGGATGTTGCGGGCCGCACATACAAACCTAATAACGCGGCCCGAGTCGGAGGAGCCTCAGGACGTCGTGCACCGGCTCTATCAGGAGAAACGCACCAAACGTTGTCTTAAGAGCAGGAACCTGAAGTGCATTCCTAACTCTTAAGAGATCTGGGGTGTGTGTCGCACAGGTGGGCTGGCCAAGGACTGACAAGCAGACACCCTGAGGTGGGCACAGACCACCATGTGGCTATTGTGTCCTCGGGGTCTTTTAGGGTCTGAGCGGGCTCTGAAAATCCCAGTGCAGAGAGGTTTTGAATCTGCAGGAGTGGCGGAAGGACACTGGAGTAGGGAGGAGGACAGCCTGTGTGGACACAGCACAGCTGTGCTGTCACCAGAGACAATCCCTGGATGACCCTGGACAGGAGTGCTGCAGCCGTGGAACATAGGCTTGAGGGCCACCACAGTTGCCAGCTAGGACATGGTGAGGCCTGGCTCACACTCAGAGACCTCACAGAAGCATGCATGCCCTTCCCTGCACTGGCCAGGCAGAGGCTGGAGGAAGGGGGGACCCACACCCTGAAGTGGCTTCTTTCCCTTTTCGCTGTCTGATGGTCTTCGGATCTGAGAGGAGGCTGTCAAGCCAGCGGAGAGGTTTTGTCTCCCTGCTCTGCTCAGGCCTGGCTCCATCCCCAAGCCTCTCTGAGAGAGGAGAGGAGAAGATAACTCTTCCTGGGCCAGAACAGGTCACAGAATGGAGGCCTCTGCTCGCCTGGCCTGGGTCAGCTCTGGGTCGGCGCGTGCCTGCTGTCCTTTCCGGGTAGCCGCCCTTGCAAAGGTCTCTGCCTTCCATCCCCATGTCCCCCTTGAAGTCCTGTCAGGTCCAGGGCCTCGGTGCCATCCTGGTCAGAGCAGAGGTGGCAGCAGTACAAAGTGAAAAGCAATGGGGAGGAAAGAGAGAAAAAGAACAAAAAGACAAACACACGGACGAGGCCAGTCTTGAAGGCATCAAGCGTGTGTCCTCCCCACTCTGACTCACACTCCTGTGGACGCTTGCTGCCTTCCAGGTATACAGGAAGCTATAACTACGGGAGCTATGGCAACCAGCACCCTCACCCGATGCAGAGCCAGTACCCGGCCCTCCCGCATGACGCGGCCCTCTCGGGGCCGCTCCACTACTCCCCGTACCACAGGAGCTCTGCCCAGGTGAGTGGCGGCCAGTCAGGTCAACTCAACAGCACTGATTAGCATCTCGTGTAGCCTGAGTGTGCACAGGTGCAGGCTGTGTGTCCCCACCCAGAGCGCAGGCTCCCATCAAGCCGCCTCTGAGTGGCCGCCCTTACTCTGGGCCCTGGTCTCTATTTCCATCCTCCCTCGCCTCTGTGCCATCCTGACCAGCTCACCGTCTCCTAAGTGGGTTCCCTCTCAGTCCAGCCCACTCAAGATCTTAAGTAGAAAAATCTGTCCCCGTGGCCTCTCAGGCCATGCAGTAGAATGTGGCCCTCTGCCCGAGGAGAGCGGACACCCTGCTCTCTGGGTGTGCAGTGCCTTGACAGAGCCTCCTATGCAAGGGCCTGGTTGCAGCTGAGCCCTGGTTCACTCCGGTCCTACTCCAACCCTTATCACTGCTGACCCAGATGATGACAGGGCCTACTGGCAGCCTCTGTGTCTCTAAAGCATGCCACACCTCTGTGCGGGTCCTCTAAACCCAAGGGTCCATGATGGCCTTTCTTTGGCAGATCAGTGTTTCTAGGGCCAAGTCCCGTTCTGCTGCATCTCTCTCTCTCTCCACACCAACCTCCAACCCTTTTCTTAGCCAGGCTGGCCCACATGCAGTGGCCCACAAGAGCCCACTTTCCACACATATTTGCAGACAGTGATCCCTGTGGCAGTGTCTCTTCTGCTTGTTGTTTGGGGCAAGCATCTTCGGTCCTTGTGACATTCTCTGGCAGTGTCCACTTCCTTGCTCCAGGACCTTATTAAATGCCACTCTCTGGCCTTCCTCCCTCAGCCCCTATGGTTAGCAACTTTCCTCTCTAACTTTTCAGAGACCCTGAGCTCCTTTTGGTAGAGATTAAACCCATCCCCAGGTCATAAAGACTGCCCCTGAGTTGCGTAAAGATCAGGCAACTGTCCTTGAGCCCGTGCACATTCCAGGCTCTGTGCCCGGCACTTTCTGCAAGGTATAGAGGAAGTGAGCCTCAGAGGAACTTGACTCAATGTGACTGGACCCATGACACAGGCACAGTGGCACCAACACTGCTGCCTAAGGGAGGCAGGACAAGGCCCATTGCATCAGCCAGCAGCATACAGCCCCACAGAGGGAGGGCCCTGCGGGGAGAGTGCCCACAGAGAGGGGCACTCAGGGCAAACAGGCGCCTGTTTTGGTTCCCATCTGCAATCCTGGGGGAGCCCTGGAATAGTCCCCGGACAGCCCAGGAGTTGATGCCACTAAGTCATCACCTGGGGCATTCATTAGGAGTCTGCAAGTGCGTCACACAGAGGGGCCAGCCCCTTAGGTGCTGCCTCATGTGGGAGCCGAGCAAGGAGCCTGCCGCGGAGCGACAGGACTGCCGCCACAGCCCGGGTCGTGCTCAGCACACCAGAGGCAGCACGTTCACCCTTGTTCATCCGTTTGACCATTCGTTGCTTTGTCACTCAAGTGGTTGCTGGATGCCCAGTGCGGGCAAGCCCCGCTCTGTGTTCAAAGCATCTGGGGGCAGGAGGCAGCCTGGCGCCCACTGCGGGAGACGCAAGGCCAAGCCGGGGCTCCTGCCGCCACCATCAGTCCCTCCTCACCCCCTCCCCCAGGAATTTCAGGAGCTGACTTTCTGGGGTGATGCTTTCAAAGCAACTGCCGTGAAAAGAAACAGGGTGTCCTAAAGGGCCCTGCAGATCCTGGTGGTTGAAGGACAGGCCTGCAGCGCCTGCTCTGCCAGCCACAACCATTCCCACGGGTGCCACTGTTGTCTGATGCCTGATGGGAATGGAACAGCCTAAGGCCGGCCCCAGAGCCCCCAGGAGCCCTCGTGTCCAGGGTGGGCAGCTGTGGCCCCAAGGGCCTGGGCCAGCCCATCTATCCATCTACAACGGTGGCACCCTCCAGCCCACATGCAAGCGTACACGCGCACACGCACACACACACGGTCCACGCCTCCAGCCCACATGCAAGCGTACACGCGCGCGCACACACACACACACACAGTCCACGCCTCTGACTCCTCTGTCAAGGCAGCAAGGAGTTCCCTTAGCTCATGGCCCCTCTCCTGAGCAAGGCCTGGTCCACACACAAGCAGCCTCTGTTTTATTTCTCATTAACATTTATGCGATAAGCACTGTTCTAGGCACTTGGAAAGACGCGGATCGCTCAGTTCACAGAACAGGCTTAGGAAGACAGCATTTCCCTCCAGAAGTTAAAGGCAGGGTGCCCCGCGCTGCCACACGGATGCCAGCTCTCCAGCTCAGCCAAGGAAGCGACCGTGCTCTGGGAGCCCAAGGTCAGCCTGAGGGGCCGAAGCCGTGCTGCTCCGGGATCCCTGCTTCCTTCCCTACCAGTTCTTCAGTGCACGGTTGAGCGTGCAGAGCAAGCTGCGCTCCAGGGCCAGTATTAGCTTTCTAGACCTGAGGTCAGGCCATCCCAGTGCTGAGCAAACGTCTATCACCTGCCGCTACATCAGACTGTAGCTGGTCTGAATGGGAGAGAAATTAGTTATACACTGTAGTTCTTGGATGCACTTGTCGCCAGCATCAGAGTCACTGAAACTAACTTCTGCAAGTGAATGTGACAGATTTACCTTGCAGAGCAGGCACAGGGTCCGGGGGTGGAGCTCAGGAGCACAGCAGCTGCCTAGAGTGCGAGGCCCTGGGCTTGTCACCAGCACTGCTAGAGCAAGAGCACGGCCACAGCAGCCACGAAACTGGACCCTTGTGTTTGCTCACTAAAGTGCTCTACTCATGCCAGCATGTGTATGCTCAAAGCTTCTGCCGCCATCTGTTTTCTGACATAGAGGGTTGTTACCCTGCCACATATGAGGCTAACGAATATGTCTAAGCCTCATTCAATGCACACTCATGGAATCCAGCAGCCACCAATGTGACGTGGCATCGAAGGCCCCAGGGGCCGTTTGATCTGCTGGCTCCGGATAGCTGGGAATGCGCTCGGCATGCACAGAAAGCGGTGCCTGTTTTTCCTCTAAATGGCTCAGGCCCAGGCTTGCTGGCCAGTTACCACCTCTCCCAGAACCTCTAGCTGCCTGACCCGAGTCAGCCCCGGCCAGCCAGTGCTACAAAGTACGCTTAGGGTACTCAAGCTAGGACCGGTGCTTGGACCAAAGAGGAAAAAGAAAATCGGCTGACCCTAATGTGCATAATGCTGTAAGACCGGTGGGTGTGGAGTCAGGATCCTGGGGCTCAAATCCCAGCTCTGCCTCTGATGAGTTCTGTGGCTTGATTTCCTCATCTGAAAAGTGGCATGATTACAGTATTTATCTCACTGTAGGGCCCAGAGAGCTCATGGAGGTTGAGCAGGCATGGCTCAAGGTTAACATTACTTGCCTGTGTCATCATCCTTCATGACAGTTGTAATACTGTCGCCCTTGGTGGGGTTCCTAGTTACCATCTGACCCACTGCTGCACTGGCTCTGTGCGGCAAGGACTAGGTCCCCTTTTTCTCATCTCTGTACTCCCAGGGCCCAGCACAGAGCTTGACCCGAATGAAGGAATGAATGAGTCCTGGTGCAAAGTTGCTGTATGGCCTCAAGCAGATCACTTATCTCTCCTTGATCTCACCTCTCTTGCCAGTAAAATGGGGGGGGCACCCACAGGGTCAGCCACTAAGCTCTTCCTGTCACTAAGGGACCACAAGAGCCTGTGCTGCTCAGAAAGGAAAGACATCAATAGCGCACACATTTTGCTAACGGACACATGGGAGTGACAGGTGTTGTGTGCGCACTGCCTCCTGACCCTCAGCGCTCAGCAGATGAGGCTGTCTGGCGGGGGGTAAGAGCTGCACCCTCTCCCAGCAGCGGCCCAGAGGAAGCCAGCCCGGGGCGGTACTGGCAGCACTAGGCACCCTGAGAGCCGCCTTTCATAGGAAAACAGTTTGTGCTCTGGACTTGGCCACCTTTCACCCCCACCCCCACCCCCCGCTCAAGTAGCAGCACATTTGGGGAGGGGCGGGGATAAAGGGCTCATTCTTCCCTTTCCAAGCATAGGAAAGTCTGCCCCTGGTGTGGGAGTTGTTTCCCAAAATAGACTTCCTAAGGCGGCTCCAACGAGGCCAAGAGTCACTCACAGCTGCAAGGGACTTGCACCACAACCATCTGATGGGACCTTTGACCACACGCCCTTGTGCACGTGTGCACACACGCCTGCTCACAAGCAGCTTACACACGCCCCTCTCCGGGGTGATAACTGGCATTTAGCAATGATTTGACCCTGCTAGTACCCTGCCCAGGGAACAGTGACTTCCTGTTGTGGAACGTCTGCAGAAGGCGTCTTTATTCTGTGCGGAACTCTCAAGCCCCAGAGTCTGGGCCCTGTACACACAGGGACCTCACGTGAAACAAGAGGTAGAGTGCAAGAGGCAAGGCCATGCCGCAGGCCAGCTGAGCCACCTCGAAGGCAGGACAGAAGCTGTGCTGGCGCCTGGCTGCATAATCTGCGGGCCAGGCAGCAGGCACTTGAGCCGCGCCGCTCTCAATGGAGCCTTCAACACGGGGAAAGCGAGGCACTGACTCATCTGCAATTAGCTGACTTAGCAGGACAGAATTTTCCATTCCGGATTCGTGGTAACAGAATTGTATTGTCGCATTGGAGATATTTTGAGCCCATCTCATTTCCAGGCAATTGCTCTTTTGATCTTTGACAACCTCGGGGGCACAGCTGCATGGAGGGTGCCTGATGCAGCACAAACACCACTCTCTTGCTTTCTGGGGGACAGAGCTCCACATCCATCCTGTGACATTCACCATGCCCAAGCCAGGGCCAGGGAGGGTCAGTTGTCCAGGTCAGAATTCCCAGGCCAGGCTCTGCCTCTGAGAGGGAGCCTGCTGAGGAAAGGAGGTGGGAAAGGAGAGGCTCTGCGCGTGGCTCCTCAGAACAGTGCCCTCCTCCTGGGTGGCAGGGAGCGGCAGCATACACCAGGGAGCCAATGCCCCTGGCCTGGGCTCTCGTGCTCCTGCTCTGTGACTCTGGGTAGGGGCCCTAGTTTTTCTCATCGCCCCAACATGGAGTTGGGTCACATGGTTCTTAGGTCTCTCGCTAGTGTTACTGTCCCAATGTCCATTTGCCAAATAGAGTTGCGCACCTTGAGCGCCAGGACCTGCGCTTAATGTTAGGGGTGTAGTGTGCTCATGACAGAGCCCACTGGGAGAGCAGTAAGGTGGTGGCAAGACTGGGACCCCAGTGGCAGAGAGTGGAAGGGCTCTGCTGGATCACCAGGGGTTCAGGCAGAAGGACAGGTGGAATGAGCTCAGTGCACCACAGGACCAGAAGGGAGGTCGCTGAGAGGCAGTGGGCATGGAGGTGGCCGGCACCCTGGAGCTGCGCTCAACAGCAGGAGGGCTGCTGGTGACCCTTTGTACTAAGATGGCACATGTGTTACCCACTCAGTGCCCCTGGGATGCTGTCTTCTTCCACAACGCCCAGAACCTTTGGGATGCAGACTGCTAAGGGTCCCTGTGGGTCCCCTGCTGTGCAGCACACAGGCCCACACTGGCCTTGCTGAGCTGACGTGGGGTTCTGGAGCCATGACGGGCTATGTGGAATCTCCTTGGCAACAGCCCTATGCCTTCTCCTTTGAGTTCCCAGATACCACTGACTCCCTACCCCCACTGCTCTTTTCACTGTGGTGTGGCTGTCCCCCACTATGTCCTCTACTATGTCCTGCTCAGGACAAACTCACACTTGGATCTGGATCCTCTTTCCGAGGACCATCAGCTTTCTTCAAATGCTTCAGGCTCAAGTGCCTCCCAACCCACCCCACTGCCCTTGGGTGTTCAGGCTGAGGGGCAAAGTGGTCCCTGCAATTGCCTGGAGGGATGGACGGTGGGGAGCAGCCGTTGCTGTTGCCAGCGCTTCCGCCACTGTCTGCCTCCCTCCCAGGAGGAGCTGCCCCAACCCCTCAGGGCTCCACTCTGCAACTGTTGGGCAGACAGATGGGGAGCAGGACAATCCACAGGCTCACACTGTCCTCCTCCTCCTCCTCACTGCCCCTGTGGGCCTTGCTGATTGGCTCCTGTCCTGCTGTGGTGGCCCTCACTCCAGCACAGGGCAGAGCAAGGACGTCACTGTGCTGCCCGCCATCAGTGAGGTGGAAAGGAGCCCAGGGAGCCCTTGGACAGCAGCCCCCTCCACTCCCCCAGAGCGTGGCAAGGGGCTGATTTGCATAGCTGTCTTGGTAACTGAGAGGAATGTGAAAGCAGCCCTCTTCAGAGGTCCTTGTCCGGCTCCTCAGATCTCCCCTCTTGCACAGCCAGCCGCTCACACGTGCACACGTGTTCACGCTCTGCCTGCTGCTGCCTCGCCCCTCGGCCTCTCCCTCCACAGCCACGCCAAAAGAGATAGGCTCTAGTAATAACTATTGAAGTTGTTGATTTGCTTTCTCTTCAAAAGCCTACTTTCAGGCTGCAGTTCATAATTGAATTCAACTGTAAAATGTGATTTTTAATAAGATGATTGCATTTGACTTTGGCAGTACTGTTGTTTTGGGAGGTTGGACTGGGACCTAGCACATCTCCATAACTAATGAGAAAGCAGCTGCCTAGCCATACGTGTCCGGGTTTGCTGTTACCAGTACGTGTGTGCACACACACACACACGCACACATGTGCGTGCACGTGCGTGCGCGCTCCCGTGTTCCCAGTGGGGTTTCCCTTCTTTTGGATCTGACTCCCCAGGATATGCTGGATGAGGAGCACAAGCCACGTGCTGGCTCTGGGAACCCCTGCAGAGACTGACCTCAGGACCCGAGCTGTCTCCCGGGCCTGGAGAGTTACTGAAAGTTGCTGGATAATGTCTAAAGAAAGTTGCTTAAGAAAGTTAAACTGAGAGCAAGATTGGTGTTCTATGTTCGCAACCACAAGCTAATTGTGCCTTTGTGGCATTTCTTTCCCCTCACCAAGTACCCTTTCAGTAGCCCCACTTCCCGGATGGAGCCCTGCCTGATGAGCAGCACCCCCAGACTGCACCCCACGGCAGTCACGCCTCGGTGGCCAGAGGTGCCCACAGCCAACACGTGCTACACGAGCCCATCTGTACACGCGGCAAGGTACGGAAACTCTAGTGACGTGTACGCGCCCCTGAGCACGCGCAGGAATTCTGAGTACGAGCACATGCAACACTTCCCTGGATTTGCTTACATCAACGGAGAGGCCTCCACTGGGTGGGCCAAGTGACTGCTCTCGGAGGAACCATATTTAATATTATTAATAATAATAAACCCAACACCCGCCCCCCAGAAGACTTCATGTCTATCCATCCTCACTGGTGGGCTGTTCCTAGGCACCCATCGTCCTCCTGAACAGGAAGAGATTTACTAAGGGAGGAGTAAGCATTAGTGCAGAAACAGGTCTCACGAAGGTCACCGGGACTGGGTCCCCTGACTGCTTCTCTAGAGCCCTGGCTGGACAGGCTGACCTGGCTCCCCCTCCGCTCTTCCCCACTGCTTCGTGTGGGAAACCCTCCCTGCAGGCTACTCATTTTCCTGTTGGCACTGCGAGGCCCTCTGATCGTGAAGGATGGGTCCTGGGGCCGAGTCCGGTTGTGCTCCTGGCCTGTCACTTGCCAGGAACACTTGCCGCACCACCTGGGCATACTCCCCTCCCTCATGGCGCCATCATCACGGCTTCCTGGAGTGCCAGAGCTCAGGGAGGTGTTGGGGACTCGAGGTTGGTTCCCTGTGCTGCTCGCACCCACCTGCCAAGGACCTGCCTCACCCAGGAATGGAAGCACTGTCGGGGGGAGGAAGAGGCCTGATCTGGTGCCTTAAGTGGACCGAGGCCCATGGGGGACCGGTTCTTCTACGTACAAGGAATTGTCCTGAATTTGCACAATGGTTAGTGTCAGCAAAAGGAGGAGAGGGTTTTGGAAGGTTCTGTGAGAATGTGGTTTATGGCCTGGAGTACCACACTCGGCTCTGCTGTTAACATTCTGAAGCTGTTTGGACCAAACTTTAACTTAGCAAGCACCAAGTGTGAAAATGACTTTCATAGTTTCTTCATAAGACTATAATAATTTCCGACACTTTGATAGAGACAACATTCAAAGCTGTGCCTTTGAGCCTATACTATACTGTGTATGTGTGGAAATAAAAAAAAATGTATTGTACTTTTGGGAAATTTTTTTTCATAGGCATTTTTCTGTCAGATTTGTAGTAATTTGTGAGGTTTGTTAGACATTAATATAGGCTTTCTTTCTGTATTATAAAATGCACCAAGCAATTATTGTGGGCCTATTACCCTATGGGTAAGAAATAAATGGAAATATGACACCAGATATTTTAGCAATTGTTGTGTACATAAAATCTTTGATCACACCGCTCAGTGTGATAATCATGTCTACAGCTAAAATGGAAATAGTTTTATCTGTACAGTCATGCAAGATATGAATGGTTTCACACTCAAATAAAAAGTATTGAAACAACTTGTTCTCTTCCTTTTGATTTTGCATGTGATAGGACTTCTGTATACATAATATAAATTATTTATTTATTTATTTATTTGGTACAGTGTCTTGATATGCAGCTCGGACTCGTAGTGGCCCTCCTGTCTCAGCCTCCCCAGTGCTGGGATTACAGGCGTGTGCCACCTTGCTTTGTCTCAGTGGCCTGCTCAGCCCGACAGGGGGGATGAGGCTGGTACAACTGCAGTACCAGGGATCAAACCAGCGTCTTTGTGCTTGCCAGGCAGGTGCTTAAACTACCAAGCTATCTCCCCACCCCATACATATGCTTTAAGTAGGCAGAACAAAAACACCCCTACGTGGCCGTGGGTAGCAGCGTGAGGCCTCTGCCCCCTCTTGCCATACCGTGAGCACTGAAGTGGAAAGGTCAGGTGTCCTGTCTTGAGGAATGGTAGGCGAGCAGAGGCTCTACAGCCTGACTGAGGTTCTGGGGGCTGGGCATCCACATCCTCAGTGTGCCTGGTGTCAGCAAAGGGCAGAAGCCTCAGCTCTGGCAGAGACTTACCATTAAGGGTCCCCGGGTACTTAGTCCATCTTGCTTTAATGATCACAGGGCACGAAGACATTTCACGTGCAGTGCTTTACATGCCAGCAAACTTTTGAACAGAACAATGACATGGCTGAACGCTTAATAAGTATTCGATTCTTTTCCAGCACTGTGCTTTGGTTCTGCAGCTGAGAGGAGTAGGATACAGAAATAAGATGATTGTGTTCTGCCCAAACAGTAAGAATATAGAAACAAAGGAAAATTCAGAGCCATAGGTTTCCAGAAATGACAGCAATGACTACGCTATCCCAAAGGCAGGAGAATCTGACACCTCAATTTGCATTTTGAAAGGCTTATTTTTAAAGCCAAGCTCTAACTTGCTATTATATAACATTTATACCTGAAAATGATTTTAAGGTGAAAATTATTTATTATAAATAGCATCCCCTTAAATGTATTTAGCTGTTGTTCTACAGAAAAGAAATAGATGCTGGATTTCACTCTTGATGGTAAGTGTGTTTTACCTTTTGTCCACAGTCCCACTGATATGTACGGATTACGCAAGGGAGGAGGAGAATGACATTTCAGATTTAGACAGGACATAAAATAAACCTGAGGCCGGCCAGCCCTGCTCTCTCACATCCAAAGCTAGCACTCCCCGTGCGAACTGTTGAGTCTGACTTTTGGCTTACTGAGTAGAACAAAATGAAGTTCTCGGCGGACTTTCTGGCCCGGTAGCGGGCGCGCACAAGGAGCCGCACCTGTGCACAGGCACTGCCACGAGCTCGTCGCGTGCACCCCTCCAGAGGCCAACCCGGCACTCTGGGCCGACGCGCGAGTGCAGGAGAGGAGCCGTCCGTCCGTCCGTCCGTCCGTCCGTCCGTCCGGAGGAGCCCTCGCTCGCTGGCTCGCGCCGGGACGCGGAACGCAAGGCAGCGCGAGGTGGGGCCGCGCCCCGGCGTCGCGGTCGGCCCCCAACCTTGGAGAGGGGCGT